AGTGCTTTTGAAGTCGGATCATTTCTTCAACCAACCGAACGCTGCTGGCACCCGCCCACCCGACTAGAATCACTACTCTCGGCGGGTCTGACCTAGAGTATGTGGACAACTACAAATACCTAGGTGTCTGGTTAGACTGTAAACTCTCCTTCCAGACTCACATTAAGCATCTCCAATCCAACGTTAAATCTAGAATCGGCTTCCTATTTCGCAACAAAGCCTCCTTCCCTCATGCTGCCAAACATGCCCTCGTAAAACTGACTATCCTACCGATCCTTGACTTCGGCGATGTCATTTACAAAATAGCCTCCAACACTCTACTCAGCAAATTGGATGTAGTCTATCACAATGCCATCCGTTTTGTCACCAAAGCCCCATATACTACCCACCACTGTGACCTGTACGCTCTCGTTGGCTGGCCCTCACTACATATTCGTCGCCAAACCCACTGGCTCCAGGTCATCTATAAATCACTGCTAGGCAAATCCCCGCCTTATCTTAGCTCATTGGTCACCATAGCAACACCCACCCGTAGTCTGCGCTCCAGCAGGTATATCTCACTGGTCATCCCCAAAGCCAACACCTCCTTTGGCCGCCATTCCTTCCAGTTCTCTGCTGCCAATGACTGGAACGAACTGCAAAAATCTCTGAAGCTGGAGACTCTTATCTCCCTCACTAACTTTAAGTATCAGTTGTCAGAGCAACTTACCGATCACTGCACCTGTACACAGCCCATCTGAAATTAGCCCATCGAACTACCTCATCCCCATATTGTTATTTATTTTGCTCATTTGCACCCCAGTATCTCTATTTGCACATAATCTCTTGCACATCTATCATTCCAGTGTTAATACGAAATTGTAACTATTTTGCACTATGGCCTATTTATTGCCTTACCTCCATAATTTACTACATTTGCATACACTGTATATAGATTTTCTATTGTGTTATTGACTGTATGTTTTATTTATTCCATATGTAACTCTGTGTTGTTGTTGTTTTTAATCGCACTGTTTTGCTTTATCTTGGCCAGGTCGCAGTTGTAAATGAGAACTTGTTCTCAACTGGCTTACCTGGTTAAATAAAGGTGAAATAAAATTAAAATTAAAAAGATTTTAGCTAGTTTACCGTTGCTTATAATAAAGTTAGCTAGCTTGCTTAACATTGACAATACTGTAAGCCTAGTCATAAGGAGTATTTTTTATTTTAAAAATTATGTCTGTAGGTAATTGTCAAAAACGGATTTGTTGTGGTTGGAAAGGTGAAAGGTCAGTGATGAAACTTCACAACTCGGAACCTTGGGTATCAACATTTTCTCAGACTTTCACACTTGTAATTACCAGTTGGGGTGTTGTTCAAGTGAAACTTCCAAGTTGGGAAACGAGTATCTACGATCATTCCGAAAGCACACGAAGTCACCAAAACTATTGCCCAGTCCGTTACAACGTCTCTGTCAGTCCAATCGCAGCTGGCTTTGGAACCAGCCTATTGTTACCGACAGAATGTAGAGGAACGTCAAATTTATCTGATAGTTGAAAAAAATAGAATAATCACCCTAAGGTCTAAGACTGGCACACTTCAAGTTCAGGTAAACACATTTCCTTTTTATTTTCAAATAATAGGTTAAGAATTGAATGGGCTTAGTTTCTGTAGTCTTTTTTTTTTTAAGATGTTGAAATCAAACGCAATTTGTTTTTCATATCACCTTATCCATTGGCCCTAGTTCATAAAAACTAGGCTTTAACGATGTAATAAATTATAGCCCTAGATTACTTAATTTGTGCACTTCCATGAACAATTACAGCCTATAACGGTTTGTTAAAAAGTTCAGTTGATTTTCATTTTAGTAGCCTATTCAAGCAGACCTGTAGGCTATGAACAATAAACTGATTGTGGGGGTTTTTGGATTGATTCGGTGTCATGATCCAAGTCGGGAAGACAACATAGATAAAAAATTGCCTTTAAGTGAACATACAAGCTTAGAAAATAGGGAAAGACATTCCATATGACAAATGGAACATGTTAAATAACAATCAGCCTATAGAAAACGTTGTTTAAAACACACACACACACACACACACACACACACCTGTCAGTTCACAACGATTAAATATATTTAGATAATTTGAAGAGTTTATTTCCAAAACCCTATATCCACCAATTTTTCACATACATTCTGTTTGTTTGTTTGTTTTTTTCCATCTGAAATGATCGTTTATGGGTACCTTCATGTACGTTCATGTGTGTGTAAAATATGACTGTTCTAAGATTTTTTATTAATAGAGTTTAGATGTGTATGAAAATGTTTTTGTTTTTATTGTGTGTGCAAATTGCTTTATATCCATTGTTAAGCTGAATGGAATGTTCATATCCCCTGAGTCAATACATGTTAGAATCACCTTTGGCAGCGATTACAGCTGTGAGTCTTTCTGGGTAAGTCTCAGATTTTTTATTAATAGAGTTTAGATGTGTATGAAAATGTTTTTTGTTGTGTGTGCAAATTGCTTTATATCCATTGTTAAGCTGAATGGAATGTTCATATCCTGTATATTTGACTGTGATATGTGGTTGTCTCACCTAGCTATCTTAAGATTAGCTCAGCTGGTAGAGCACGGCGCTTGTAACGCCAGGGTAGTGGGTTCGATCCCCGGGACCACCCATACACAAAAATGTATGCACGCATGACTGTAAGTCGCTTTGGATAAAAGCGTCTGCTAAATGGCATATTATTTTTATGAATGCACTTACTGTAAGTCGCTCTGGATAAGAGCATCTGCTAAATGACTAAAGTTTAAATGTTTTACATACAGATCTCATATTATTGTATTGAATTTCATTAAATTGTATATTTATATCACAAATGTATCATTTGTACAGTTACATTTCACTGTGTAAAACCTAGCAGTACTACTTATTTCTCTGAGAGTGAGGCGGATATATAGCATTTAGCAAAAAAACATGATAATTTGTCTCTCTGAAATGAAACCATCAAGCGATAGATATTAAACAAATACAAGTCTATCATTAACGAACCAACCCCATGTCATGATTAGATAGTGAAAAAACACACCAATCTCTTTCAGAATTTCTTTCAACAATAAAAGCTAATTTACCAATATTTCTGAAAATGGATATACAGTGTCTTCAGAAAGTATTCATACCCATTCACTTATTCCACATTTTGTCATGTTACACACAATACCCCATAATGACAAAGTGAAAACATGTTTTTAGACATTTTTGCAAATTTATTGAAAAATGAAATACAGAAATATATAATTTACATAACTATTCACACCCCTGAGTCAATACATGTTAGAATCACATTTGGCAGCGATTACAGTTGTGAGTCTTTCTGGGTAAGTCTCTTAAGAGCATTGCACACCTGAATTTTACAATATTTGCACATTATTCTTTTTTTAATTCTTCAAGCTCTGTCAAATTGGTTGTTGATCATTGCTAGACAGCCATTTCCAAGTCTTGCCATAGATTTTCAAGCCAATTTATGTCAAAACTGTAACCAGGCTACTCAGGAACATTCAACGTCGTCTTGGTAAGCAACTCCAGTGTATATTTAGCCTTGTTGTTTTAGGCTATTGTCCTGCTGAAAGGTGAATTTGTCTCCCAGTGTCTGTTGGAGAGCAGAATGAACCAGGTTTTCCTCTTGGATTTTGACTGTGCTTCGCACTATTCCATTTATTTTTATGCAAATAAAACTCCCTGATCTTTGCCGATGACAAGCATACCTATAACATGATGCAGCCACCACCATGATTGTCCCGTGTAGCTCAGTTGGTAGAGCATGTATGCACTAACTGTAAGTCGCTCTGGAAAAGAGCGTCTGCTAAAAATGACTAAAATGTAAAAAAATATGTATTGTGTAACCAGTGCTAGTAGCGTTTCAATCGGTGACGTCACTCGCTCTGAGACCTTGAAGCAGTTGTTTCCCTTTGCTCTGCAAGAGCCGCGGCTTTTGTGGAGCGACGGGTAACGGTGCTTCGAGGGTGACTGTTGTCGATGTGTGCAGAGGGTCCCTGGTTCAAGCCCAGGTTGGGGGCGAGGAGAGGGACGGAAGCAACACTATTACACTTGAAAATAGGAAGAGTGTTACTCAGTGATGTGTTGGATTTGCCCCAAACCTAACGCTTTTGTATTCAGGACATTTCTTGCAGTTTTACTTTCGTGCCTTATTGCAAACATAATGAATGTTTTGTACAGGCTTCCTTCTTTTCACTGTCATTTTAGTTAGTGTTGTGGAGTATCTACAATGCTGTTGATCCATCCTCAGTTTTCTCTTATCACAGCCATTAAACTCTGTAACTGTTTTAAAGTCACCGTTGGCCTCATGGTGAAATCCCTGAGCGGTTTCCTTCCTCTCCGGCAGCTGAGTTAGGAAGGACGCCTGTATCTTTATAGTGACTGTGTGTACCCATCTACCAATAGGTGCCCTTCTTTGCGAGGCATTGAAAAATCTCCCTGGTCTTAGTGGTTGAATGTGTTTGAAATTCACAGCTCGACTGAGGGACCTTACAGATTATTGTATGTGTGGGGTACAGAGATGAGGTAGTCATTTAAAAAATCATGTTAAACACTACTATTGCACACAGAGTGAGTCCTTGCAACTTATTATGTGATTTGTTAAGTACATTTTTACTCCTGAACTTATTTAGGTTTACCATCACAAAGGGGTTGAATACTTATTGACTCAAGACAATTTCAGCTTTTCATTTTTATTAAATGTTTTAAAATGTCTAAAAACATAATTCCACTTTGACATTATGGGGTATTGTGTGTAGGCCAGTAAATGCAGGCAGGCTGTAACACAACAAAGTGTGGGAAAATTAAAGGGGTGTGAATACTTTCTGAAGGCACTGTACATATTTTGTACAATGGACTGTGTTTTAAGGACTCATGCACAGATACAGGAAAACTAATAAATTGTAATATTTATTCAAAATTACAAGTGTTGATGTCTCCACGTGTTTCTGGTTTTGAGGCTTGGGCATCTAGTGAATGCAGTTCATCTGTCTAATCCCCTGCCAGGAGAGAGAAAGGTATAAATAATATTACAATGCTGTATTCATTTAATTGAATATATATTCCAGTTTGATATGCATTTATATCATTATATTGGAAAAATGATCATTTATCACATACCAGTATTTGTTTTGTATCCAATGCATTTAGTTTACATTAGGATTAAGTAGCCTAGGTGGCAGGGAGATGAAAATGACTAAACTTTAACAATATGCAAAGGTGTGATATTTGTATTAATTATTCACAGTGCACGCCAACTCATTAGAAGAAGGAAAAACAGCAGCTCTAACGCAATATTAGCTTCACTGTGAAACACCACTATTCTGGCCATTAATTGTTCTTAAACAGTCAGTAAAATAGCTCTCTCAAAAAATCTTAGCCTGTATGATATGTATCATGCATGCAAGCTTACCTGTCATGTCCACAACGGTGGAGCAGCAGACCAGCAATACGTGAGAGGAGGACCCTATACCGTAGGATCATTATTCTGGTTGGTGTCAACTTCATTCGTTAACAGGTACTAAGGAGATCGACTATGTTATTTGTTTACTTGTTACTCGTGTCAGATATTTTCCTTTTGGGATAGTTGTTCACTGAATTGCTGCCACTAGTTGCTGACGACGCTACAGTGGCTACAATAAGGGTTGTGAGGAGGAGCAGCTCCGTGGACGGGATCCTTGGGACGTCCCTATCCTGAACCCTACCAGTTGTATTTTTTTTTTATGTTTTAGTTGTACTAATAAAGTCCGATTTAATCAACATATACGATAGTCAGTTTAAAAAAAAAAAAGTTAAAGGTACAGGATTGGACATATCTGGCTCTGTTGACAAACTCATGATATATTCCATCGAGCCAAGCGGGGGAGGCTGCCCGTTGTCCCAGTTTCAAGACTAGTCCGAAACATACCAGCTAACCCATATCATTCACCACCGTTGTCTTACGAACCATTAAACAAAACAATAAATCATTTCAAAGTTTATTTCGAGCAAATTTCTCAGTTACACGACTGTATAACTATCAAAAGGAGTTTTGAAGTTGAGGATGCAGTATTTATGAAGTTTGACAAAGAGGATGAAAAACTAGCATAGTTCAGCTAGCCAGCTAGTTTAGGCTAATTCAGGACAGATTGTCGTTTTTATGCCCTGATATGAGAAACTGGTGGCGAAAAGTTTGATTAAACAATTCAGAGACTGAAACGAATACATCAGATGACAAATATTTAAGGAGAGTGAATCCATACAATCCGGAAATCAGCTGTAACTGTCAATAGTAAAACAAAACTTAAAATGTAAATATATTTCTGTTGTATTTTTGACTTTATGTTTTGTTTACCCCATATGTAACTCTGTGTTGTTGTTTTTATCGCACTGCTTTGCTTTATCTTGGCCAGGTCGCAGTTGTAAATGAGAACTTGTTCTCAACTGGCTTACCTGGTTAAATAAAGGTTAAATAAAATAAATGATGTTTGAGTGAACCTGAATCCAGAAAATGAATGGTGAAGTCGTTTCCGGACACGGTAGACTCCTCCTCCTCCTCACCACCACTAAGGGGCTAATTGGTGGAATGTGTTGTCACGTGATACAGCCTTCGAATCCCGTCCCCAAAAGGCAGTAACCTACTGGAAAAGTGCTTCCTACTGAGGTAGGTAGGTCCCTTTTGGATTGGTTAAATAATAACAGTATGCTACACCGACGTTTATTTCTATTCATACAAAGTGTCAAAAAAAGATTGTCCAGCACTGGGCGTGAACTCATGATGCTCACAGTTGAAGTGTTCTGCTCAGACCACTTACCTTACGGAAGTTCACAATGCTCGTTCACAATGCTCTAGCAAGTCATGAAAATACTTGACGGTATGAGGTCGGGTTTGGTTTGCAGAGCCTTCTCCAAATCATAACCTCCTAGGTATGGTACTGCATTGTATAGCCTACAAAACACCGCTTCTAGCTGCCCCCTGGGCGGCAGTTATACATTTAAAATATTTATTTAAATCCTCCTGCTGCAGGATTATTTTCTTCCTGCGACGAAATGGGTCAGATTAGGATCCGACATCTGTAGTGCACTACCTTTGACCAGGGCCCTATCTGACCAGAGTAGTGCAGTACAGAGAGAATAAGGGGTCAAATGTGCTGAGGGGAACTAAACACACAGAAACAGCTGTTTGGGTTTTTATATAAAAAAAATGTAATCATTATTTAACAAAGATTATTATTAAAAATGAAACAATGAACAGTCATTAGTATGTTTCTTATTTTTTCTACGAGTTTAAAGAAAACAATATATAACTTAGACTACATGCAATATAACAACGATGTTATTGAGTAAAACAACTGGTACAAAAATCCCTTTCATGATCCCATTTCTACAGAGAGTGACTTGTGTATCCTGATTTGATGGTGTGTGTTCTGATGAAGACCAATCATCAACAGTGGGTGGAGGGTTGAAGACCAATCATCAACAGAGGGGGGAGGGTTTGTGTTATTTGATACACATAACCTGACACTTTACATCCAGACAGGTAGGTAACCAGACAGGTAGGTAACCAGACAGGTAGGTAACCAGACAGGTAAGTAACCAGACAGGTAGGTAACCTAGGTAACCAGACTGGTAGGTAACCAGACAGGTAGGTAACCAGACAGGTAGGTAACTAGACAGGTAGGTAACCTAGGTAACCAGACAGGTAGGTAACCAGACAGGTAGGTAACCAGACAGGTAGGTAACCAGACAGGTAGGTAACTAGACAGGTAGGTAACTAGACAGGTAGGTAACTAGACAGGTAGGTAACCAGACAGGTAGGTAACCAGACTGGTAGGTAACCTAGGTAACCAGACAGGTAGGTAACCAGACAGGTAGGTAACCAGACAGGTAGGTAACCAGACAGGTAGGTAACCAGACTGGTAGGTAACCTAGGTAACCAGACAGGTAGTAAACCCAAAAGGTAGGTAACAGACGGTAGGTAACCAACTGGTAGTAACCAACAGGGAGGTAAACCCGACTGTAGGTAACCAGACGGGTAGGTAACCAGACTGGTAGGTAACCAGACAGGTAGGTAACCAGACACAGGAAAACCAGTTATTGCTGTACACCTACAACCAAACATATCACATCGACAAACTGAAATGAGTAAAATAAAATAACTTAGAAAACAAATGTAACAAGACTGTTTTAACTGGATTTTTGTTTTGTTTTGAAAACCACAAAATACCTGACATGGAGGAGCCGTAAGACTGATTATACTTGTCATGATTGAGTGACATTGAACCTAGACACTTTTACATACACTGAGTATACAAAACTTAAGAACACCTGCTCTTTACATGACATTAACCGACCAGGTGAAAGCTATGATCCCTTATTGATGTCACCTGTTAAAACCACTTCAATCAGTGTAGATGAAGGGGAGGAGACAGGTTAAAGAAGGATTTTTAAGCTTTGAGACAATTGAGATATGGATTGTGTATGTGTGCCATTCAGAGGGTGAATGGGCAAGACAAAATATTTAAGTGCCTTTGAACGGGGTATGGTAGTAGGTGCCAGGCGCACCGGTTTGTCAAGAACTGCCTTATTGCTTAAGGCTCTGGTTACAAGTAGTGCACTATAAAAGGCAATATTTGGGATGTATCCATGCAGTCATATCCTCACAAAGAGCTGCAAGACTGTATTGAGCTGCTAGCCAGTCACTGAACAGTAAAAGTGACATGTGACCAGGAACTGACTATTGCTGAATGGCTATTGGCTACTGCATTGCTCTACCAGAAGAGATAGTCTAATATATAGTACCAGTCAAAGGGTTTGGACACACCTACTCATTCCAGGGTTTTTCTTTATTTTTACTATTTTCTACATTGTAGAATAATAGTGAAGACATCAAAACTATGAAATAAATCATGTTAAACTAATAAAAGCGTTAAACAAATCAAAATATATGTTATATTTGAGATTCTTCATAGTAGCCACCCTTTGCCTTGATGACAGCTTTGCACACTCTTGGCATTCTCTCAACCAGCTTCATGAGGTAGTCACCTGGAATGCATTTCAATTAACAGGTGTGCCTTCTTAAAATGTTAATTTGTGGAATTTCTTTCCTTACTGCGTTTGAGCCAATCTGTTGTGTTGTGACAAGGTAGGGGTGGTATACAGAACATAGCCCTATTTGGTAAAAGACCAAGTCCATATTATGGCAAGAACAGCTCAAATAAGCAAAGAGAAACGAACAGTCCATCATTACACACCTCCAGGCTGTTTAACACTTTTCTGGTTACTACATGATTCCATGTGTTATTTCATGGTTTTGATGTCTTCACTATCATTCTACAATGTAGAAAATAGTAAAAATTAAGAAAAACCCTTGAATGAGTAGGTGTGTCCAAACTTTTCACTGGTACTGCAGTTTGCTATCAGACAAAGAATCCCCTTGGTTGAAATGAGCAGCATGCACTCACACACGTGACAGAGTCACATATATTTAAAAGAGAAAATGATAAAAAGTATATATATATATTAAAACATTTTTTTCGAATTAAGGCCAAATATATGCAATATGTTTACATAATATATAGCATATAATGTGTACATTACACAGAAAATATTTGTAAATAAATGTATTGTTCCAGAACATTATGCTATATCGAGTTATTATACACTATTTATATTTACATACATAAACTAAACACAATACAGATTGAATATGCATATGACAGAACTTAAACCGCAGTTATAAAACATATTTCCTAACATTCCCTAATGCTTTATCCATATACTGTATCTTACAGGGCTGTAATGATAAGTGACTTTACTAAATTCTACTCGACCACCTATAGGTATATTGCTTTTCTATGAAAATAAATGACAGAGTAAAGTATGCACAGAAGTCAGAAATGACAGAGTAAAGTATGCACAGAAGTCAGAAATGACAGAGTAAAGTATACACAGACGTCAGAAATGACAGTGTAAAGTATGCACAGACGTCAGAAATGACAGTGTAAAGTATGCACAGACGTCAGAAATGACAGAGTAAAGTATGCACAGACGTCAGAAATGACAGTGTAAAGTATGCACAGAAGTCAGAAATGACCGTGTAAAGTATGCACAGAAGTCAGAAATGACAGAGTAAAGTATGCACAGACGTCAGAAATGACAGTGTAAAGTATGCACAGAAGTCAGAAATAACAGAGTAAAGTATGCACAGACGTCAGAAATGACAGTGTAAAGTATGCACAGAAGTCAGAAATGACAGAGTAAAGTATGCACAGAAGTCAGAAATGACAGAGTAAAGTATGCACAGAAGTCAGAAATGACAGAGTAAAGTATGCACAGACGTCAGAAATGACAGTGTAAAGTATGCACAGAAGTCAGAAATGACAGAGTAAAGTATGCACAGAAGTCAGAAATGACAGAGTAAAGTATGCACAGAAGTCAGAAATGACAGTGTAAAGTATGCACAGAAGTCAGAAATGACAGAGTAAAGTATGCACAGAAGTCAGAAATGACAGAGTAAAGTATGCACAGACGTCAGAAATGACAGTGTAAAGTATGCACAGACGTCAGAAATGACAGAGTAAAGTATGCACAGAAGTCAGAAATGACAGAGTAAAGTATGCACAGAAGTCGAAATGACAGAGTAAAGTATGCACAGACGTCAGAAATGACAGTGTAAAGTATGCACAGACGTCAGAAATGACAGAGTAAAGTATGCACAGAGTCAGAAATGACAGAGTAAAGTATGCACAGAAATCGAAAGTTAGAACCAAAACAGAAGAGTACAAACAGTCAATAGCCTTCTAGAGTAAATGAGTTTGACACAGTAACCATTTGGCTGCATGTGGTTGTTAAATCTGTCTTTCTGTGCAAGGACAGAAAGAAAGACAGTCACTACTGTTTCCAACATGAATGTCTCATGTGCATAGTTGGAATACATGAAAGAGAATGAGTGTACTGAAATCAGAAAGGAATAGATCAATTAAAATCCCGGTAGGTACAGCTACAAGTAAAAATATATTACAGGTGAATTAAAAGTGTTATCTTGGTCAAATAAAAACAAAAATGATTCATCATGATATGTAGTAGTCGGCGTGGTCATCCAGCCAGTGGGCATATATATATATAAAACATCAGCCTGGACTCCAGACCGAACCCATGGTGAAACCATAGAGTTAGATAGATGACTCATCTTTGTGTCTGTGTTATTAAGGGTTATATCTAGCTAGAGTCCTCTATCTCTATGGGTGAAACGCAGCATATGAGGTTGGACATAGGCTAAACAAACATCACCAATGTGAAGGAAGTATCTGTCATGGTATGAATCAATGTAAAAGACTCAAAAACAGAAACTTAAGAATGGGAAGCATAGAAATAGCCCACATAAAACAGATCTACCACTTCTTAAGAGTATGACAGATCTATAACTCAGATTTCTATGTGAATTTGGTCGGGTCACCCAAAAAGTTACATATTGCAGCTTTAATACATTCATTAAAAAAAACTATCTCATCACGTTCTGAGTTTTTCTTTAAATTGCTGAATTCCTGAACTAATTTGACCCAGGCAGGAATACAGAGAGGCTGGAACACAGAGGGGCAGGAATACAGAGAGGCAGGAATACAGAGAGGCAGGAATACAGAGAGGCTGGAATACAGAGAGGCTGGAACACAGAGAGGCAGGAATACAGAGAGGCAGGAATACAGAGAGGCAGGAATACAGAGAGGCTGGAACACAGAGAGGCAGGAATACAGAGAGGCAGAGAGGCTGGAACACAGAGAGGCAGGAATACAGAGAGGCAGGAATACAGAGAGGCAGGAATACAGAGAGGCAGGGAACACAGAGAGGCAGGAATACAGAGAGGCTGGAACACAGAGAGGCAGGAGCACAGAGAGGCAGGAATACAGAGAGGCTGGAACACAGAGAGGCAGGAATACAGAGAGGCAGGAATACAGAGATAAAACCTTGTAGATCAAAGTTGAGAGCTACTCTTACCGGTCTTGCTATTGAGGACTACAGAACAACGTGCCTACAAACACAGCATTGTAACTGTTCCGTCTACTGTACAGCTGGCTGCTCAGCCGAGTTTTCCTGAGTGACTCTTGACACACTTTAATAGCATACCAACACACAACGATCATCTAGATTATACAACATGTTTACCAATAAAAGGTGCTGCACTTTAATCGTCATAAATGGCACCCTACGTGAGAATGCTGTTCATTGACTACAGCTCAGCGTTCAACACCATTGTCCCCTCCAAGCTCGTCACCAAGCTCAGGACCATGGGACTGAACACCTCCCTCTGCAACTGGATCCTGGGCTTCCTGACGGGACGACCCTGAGGGTCGGCAACATCACCTCCGCCACGCTGACCCTCAACACGGGGGCCCCTCAGGGGTGTGTGCTCAGTCCCCTCCTGTACTCCCTGTTCACCCACGACGACATGGCCATGCACGACTCCCAACACCATCATCAAGTTTGCTGACGACACAACAGTGGTAGGCCTGATCACCGGTCGACGATGACTCAGCCTATAGGGAGGAGGTCAGTGACCTGGCGGTGTGGTGCCGGAGCAACAACCTCTCCCTCAACGATGAGTCAGCCTACAGGGAGGAGGTCAGTGACCTGGCGGTGTGGTGCCGGAGCAACAACCTCTCCCTCAACGTCAGCAAGACCAAGGAGCTGATGGTGGACTATCAGGAAACGGGGGGGCAAGCACCCCCCCCATCCACATCGACCGGGCAGCAGTGGGGTAGGTAGACAGCTTCAAGTTCCTCGGTGTCTAAATCACTAAAGACTTAAAATGGTTGAAAAAGTTTGCCATGGGGCCCTCAAATCCTCAAACAGTTCTACAGCTGTACGATTGAGAGCATATTGACTGGCTGCATCACCGCCTGGTATGGCAATAGCACCGCCCTCGATCGCATGGCGCTACAGAGGGTGGTGCGGACAGCCCAGTCCATCACTGGTGCCATCCAGGACCTCTATACCAGGCGGTGTGAAGAGAAGGCCCGGGAAATTGTCAAAGACACCAACCACCCAAGCCATAGTCTATTTCCTCTGCTGTCGCACAGTAAGAGGTAACGGTGCATCACGTCTGACACCAACAGGCTCCTGAACGGCTTCTATCCACAAGCAATACGACTGATGAATAGCTGACAAAATGGCTACAGACTGAGTTTACCTTGTATCTTTATTTACCTTTTATTTCAGTATTTGCACTGTCTCTATGCACACTCACAGGGCCCTACACACTCACACACACTGTCACTCCAACACTCACTCACTCCATCATCTGCTCACTCACACATAACATGCACATATACTTAAACTGACTCTATACACACGCACTCACACACACATACAAGCTGCTGTTACTCTGTTTATCTCATATCCTGTTGCCTAGTCACCTTACCCCTATACATATCTACCTCCATCACTCCAGTATCCCTGTCCCCTTACCCCTATACATATCTACCTCCATCACTCCAGTATCCCTGTCCCCTTACCCCTATACATATCTACCTCCATCACAATCCTCCTTATTCTCCCATCCAGTATCCCTGTCCCCTTACCCTATACATATCTACCTCCATCACTCCAGTATCCCTGTCCCCTTACCCCTATACATATCTACCTCCATCACTCCAGTATCCCTGTCCCCTTACCCCTATACATATCTACCTCCATCACTCCAGTATCCCTGTCCCCTTACCCCTACATATCTACCTCCATCACTCCAGTATCCCTGTCCCCTTACCCCTATACATATCTACCTCCATCACTCCAGTATCCCTGTCCCCTTAGCCCTATACATATCTACCTCCATCACTCCAGTATCCCTGTCCCCTTACCCCTATACATATCTACCTCCATCACTCCAGTATCCCTGTCCCCTTACCCCTATACATATCTACCTCCATCACTCCAGTATCCCTGTCCCCTTACCCCTATACATATCTACCTCCATCACTCCAGTATCCCTGTCCCCTTACCCCTATACATATCTACCTCCATCACTCCAGTATCCCTGTCCCCCTTACCCTATACATATCTACCTCCATCACTCCAGTATCCCTGTCCCCTTAGCCTATACCTTTACCTCATCCTAACTGTCCCTACCCTATAATTCTACCTCCATCACTCCAGTATCCCTGTCCCCTTACCCCTATACATATCTACCTCCATCACTCCAGTATCCCTGTCCCCTTAGCCCCTATACATATCTACCTTCCATCACTCCAGTATCCCTGTCCCCTTACCCCTATACATATCTACCTCCATCACTCCAGTATCCCTGTCCCCTTAGCCCTATACATATCTACCTCCATCACTCCAGTATCCCTGTCCCCTTACCCTATACATATCTACCTCCATCACTCCAGTATCCCTGTCCCCTTAGCCCCTATACATATCTACCTCCATCACTCCAGTATCCCTGTCCCCTTACCCCTATACATATCTACCTCCATCACTCCAGTATCCCTGTCCCCTTACCCCTATACATATCTACCTCCATCACTCCAGTATCCCTGTCCCCTTACCCCTATACATATCTACCTCCATCCTCATTGCTATTCACAGAACTAGCCAATAACAACCAGACATACTAATAGGTTAATATCTATGTAAGGTGTATCTATCCTTTTAATGCTATAGAACAGCTCAACTCCATAGATGTATTCTATATTCCATTACAAGCATAGAGATAAAAATGGATTGCATCATCACCATAAGGGGTCAGGAATTATTTCTAGACATTCTAGTCTAAACTAAGACTAGGGTTGCAAAATTCCTTTAACTTTCCAAATACCCACGTTTTTTTTTCTCAGAAATCCCGGGTTGGAAGATTCCTAGAACCAGAAGACAATAGGCAGTAAACCCTCCTGTTGGGATGGAAAGACTGGGCCATGCAGGGTGTGTGGAGGCCCCACCGCCAGTCTGCAGTCCTCTGGAAAGTTTAGAGCCTTCAGTCTCTCCTGCTGAATCCCAAATGGACTCCCTAGTTTAGAGCCTTCTGTCTCTCCTGCTGAATCCCAAATGGACTCCCTAGTTTAGAGCCTTCTGTCTCTCCTGCTGAATCCCAAATGGACTCCCTAGTTTAGAGCCTTCTGTCTCTCCTGCTGAATCCCAAATGGACTCCCTAGGCACTCCTGTAAATCTGAAAGGACGGAGGATTGATATAAGCACTCTGGTATGATTCTGCTGGCTGGAATGTTTTGCCATGATTACTCCTTTCCAATTCTCTCAGATCTACATTACGTTTCTAAGGGTGTAGGGTTTAGTCTAGGGTGTAGGGTCTAGGAGTCGGTTTGGGACTGAGCCCAGTCACAGGTCTTCCTCCATGCTGAATCTGTTCCTGCACTAATGTCTGGAGGTCTGGAACGGGAGGCCAGGGGTCTCTGCCCACGAGGCATCCCCCCCCCTCCCGTAGCCCAGCCTTCGCAGCGGGCTGGTCTGGGACGGCCCAGCCCAAAAGCTCAAGGTCTTCCCTCCATGGTCATGACACGCGGCCCCTGCGGCCACCTCAGATGGTCCTGGAGGCTCCCTGCACAGAGGACATCCCCACCCCCCTATCGTCCATCAGGATATCCCCCAGACCCATGTCCGGCAGCAGGGAGGCGTGGAAGGCTGCGGACGACGGGTCGTCCAGCTCAGAGAAGCTCAGAGAGTCCAGATCCAGGGGGCTGGCCATGGTCATCAGACCAACCGGGGAGGCCGAGGGGGGTGGAGACAGGAAGGAGGGGGAGGCGGCCTGGAGGCCTGGGCCACCACTCAGGGAGAGGAGGGTCCTGGAGAGGGCGTCAGCCCGTGCTGGGGTCCAGGGACTGTGATAGGCTTAGGTGTGAGGAGGAGCTGCCCTGGGAGGAGGAGGCGGGGGTGGAGAGGCCGTGGAGGCGGGCCTGCAGCTCAAGCTCCTGTAGAGAGAATCAACAGACAACAATAGCCAACACAAAAAACAGCCCTTAGACATGCATTATTCACAGGATTCCATTCCTTATTACCTTATTGCTTAATTATTGTACAGTAGAAACAGTAGAGGCCCTGGAACACTGCCCTGGGGGACGCCAGAGTTGATTGATTTTTCCCTGAGACAATTTACCATTTAACTTCCAAAGAGACATGAAAACATGGCAATATCACACTCAAGTATTTACCAGACTTCCTTGCTGTATACTGATTGAATAGATTGACTTTATTGTCCAACAACAGGAACATCTTCTTAACCTGATTTCATAGCAGTAGGCTTGGTCTGGTCTCCATCTCCTTAGCCCCAACCCTTCCCTCCCAGTCTCCAACCCCAACCCTTCCCTCCCAGTCTCCAACCCTTCCTCCCAGTCTCCAACCCCAACCCTTCCCTCCCAGTCTCCAACCCCAACCCTTCCCTCCCAGTCTCCAACCCCAACCCTTCCCTCTCAGTCTACCTAGGTGTCAGGTAGCTTAGTGGTTAAGAGCGTTGTGCCAGAAACCGAAAGGTCGCTGGTTCTAATCCCCGAGCCGACTAGGTGAAAGATCTGTCGATGTGCCCTTGAGCAAGGCACTTAACCCTAATTGCTCCTGTAAGTCGCTCTGGATAAGAGCGTCTGCTAAATGACTAAAATGTAAAATGTATTACCTGTATACGTAGCAGTAGGTTACAGTCAGTATTACCTGTATACGTAGCAGTAGGTTACAGTCAGTATTACCTGTATACGTAGCAGTAGGTTACGGTCAGTATTACCTGTATACGTAGCAGTAGGTTACGGTCAGTATTACCTGTATACGTAGCAGTAGGTTACGGTCAGTATTACCTGTAGCAGTAGATTACGGTCAGTATTACCTGTATACGTAGCAGTAGGTTACGGTCAGTATTACCTGTATACGTAGCAGTAGGTTACGGTCAGTATTACCTGTATACGTAGCAGTAGGTTACGGTCAGTATTACCTGTATACGTAGCAGTAGGTTACGGTCAGTATTACCTGTATACGTAGCCTGTATACGTAGCAGTAGGTTACAGGTCAGTATTACCTGTATACGTAGCAGTAGGTTACGGTCAGTATTACCTGTATACGTAGCAGTAGGTTACGGTCAGTATTACCTGTATACGTAGCAGTAGGTTACAGTCAGTATTACCTGTATACGTAGCAGTAGGTTACGGTCAGTATTACCTGTATACGTAGCAGTAGGTTACGGTCAGTATTACCTGTATACGTAGCAGTAGGTTACAGTCAGTATTACCTGTATACGTAGCAGTAGGTTACGGTCAGTATTACCTGTATACGTAGCAGTAGGTTACAGGTCAGTATTACCTGTATACGTAGCAGTAGGTTACGGTCAGTATTACCTGTATACGTAGCAGTAGGTTACGGTCAGTATTACCTGTATACGTAGCAGTAGGTTTACGGTCAGTATTACCTGTATACGTAGCAGTAGGTTACGGTCAGTATTACCTGTATACGTAGCAGTAGGTTACGGTCAGTATTACCTGTATACGTAGCAGTTACGGCAGTAGGTTACGGTCCATATTACCTGTATCCGTAGCAGTAGTTACAGTCAGTATTACCTGTATACGTAGCAGTAGGTTACGGTCAGTATTACCTGTATAGTAGCAGTAGGTTTACGGCAGATTACCTGTATACGTAGCAGTAGGTTACAGTCAGTATTACCTGTATACGTAGCAGTAGGTTACAGGTCAGGTATTACCTGTATACGTAGCATTGAGGTTACGGTTCAGTATTACCTGTATACGTAGCAGTAGGTTACGGTCAGTATTACCTGTATACGTAGCAGTAGGTTACAGTCAGTATTACCTGTATACATAGCAGTAGGTTACAGTCAGTATTACCTGTATACGTAGCAGTAGGTTACGGTCAGTATTACCTGTATACGTAGCAGTAGGTTACGGTCAGTATTACCTGTATACGTAGCAGTAGGTTACGGTCAGTATTACCTGTATACGTAGCAGTAGGTACAGTCAGTATACCTGTATACGTAGCATAGGTTACGGTCAGATTACCTGTATACTAGCAGTAGGTTACGGTCAGTATTACCTGTATACGTAGCAGTAGGTTACGGTCAGTATTACCTGTATACGTAGCAGTAGGTTACAGTCAGTATTACCTGTATACGTAGCAGTAGGTTACAGTCAGTATTACCTGTATACGTAGCAGTAGGTTACAGTCAGTATTACCTGTATACGTAGCAGTAGGTTACGGTTGCTGTGCTCCAGTTTCCGCTGCCTGTTCTCCATCTCCTTGGCTCTCTGCTGCTCCTTCTGCAGCCTCCTGATGTAGTCCACAGACGCCTTCAGGATGGTTCCCTTGTTCCAACGCGTCTCCCTGTCTCCGTAGCAGGGGGGTCAGTGAGGGGAAAGGAACAGTGGCATGATTAGATACTATGTTGTAGCAGGGGGGGTCAGTGAGGAGAAAGGAACAGTGAGATGGTGAAATATGTACAGTAGCACTTTAGCAGGGGGGGAGGGGGGGGGCTACTCACGGGTCACTCGATTTGGGGATGAGAGCTCCCAGTTCCTTGATGCGATCGTTGATGTTGAACCTCCTCCGTCTCTCAACTAGGAACAACCGTAACATGTCAACATTATCACCAAGCTGGTGACCAACTGTTAGACCTAATGAAATACATTTCAAATATGGTATCCGTTGGCAGTAAAGTATTGATCTATACTCACTCTGGTTATGGTTGTCCTTTTTCTGTCGCTCCTTCGTCATAGCTTTAACCTCCACCTCTAGAAGGAGACAATATCAAATCAACATTTCGCACTCCAATATCAGTACAGTGTGGGTTGCTAAAGACTGCTTGAAACGTAAATAAAACATAGATTTAAAAAACAGTATATGCATATGTTCAGAATGTCAAAAGACGCTAAAAGTCATAAGACACATAACGGATGGTGAGTATGCCGTAGAGATCAAACGGAAACATGACTGCAGGTCTACTGAAGGCTGAGGCAGAGGAACAGGGTGGGACTGACTGACTGGACAAGGGAAGTTGAGCAATGCTGAGTAAGAACTTTAAAAAGAAAAGAGAGGGGAGGAGAGAGAGGATAGAGTGGTGATGTGAGAGAGAGGGGGAGGAGAGAGTGGGGCGAGGGAGTTGCTGAGGGAGGATAGAGAGACGGGAGGTCAGAGAAGCGGAGAGACATACGGATGTGTCTGGAGAAGGAGCGGAGGTGTAGGGGGAGAGAGAGGGGCGAGTGAGAGAGGAGTGCATCGTAAGTTAGACGGAGGGGGCAGGGGGAGGAGAGTGGGGGCTGGAGGAGGTGGAGTCGGGGGAGGAGGAGGAGGGGAGAGAGGGGGAGATGGGGAGACGAGATGGGGAAGGAGAGGAGGAGGGAGAGGATGAGAGAAGTCGATCTCACGAGAGGACCACACAGAAACAGGGACAGAGTAAGAGAGAGATCGACAGACAGGAAGTTGAGATAGAGAGGATTGGGAGATGACAGAGAGAGATAGACAGACAGGTGTTATTGAGTGTTATTTAGAGAGGAACTTTTTACAGACAGAAAGAGAGACGGAGAGAGAGAGATAAGAGCTAGAGGGGGTTATTTAAGCAATAAGGCCCGAGGGGATGTGGTATATGGCCAATATACCACGGCTAAGGGCTGTTCTTAAGCACGACGCAACGCGGAGTACCTGGATACAGCCCTTAGCCGTGGTATATTGGCCATATACCACAAACCCCCAGGGTGCCTTATTGCTGTTATAAACTAGTTACCAACGTAATTAGAGCAGTAAAAATAATATGATATACCATGGCTATCAGCCAATCAGCATTTCAGGGACTCGAACCACCCAGTTTATAATGAGTGTTAAGTGTGTTTTAGAGAGGAACTCTTTACCAGTACCGGTTAACTCAGTCTTGACGTTGTGCAGGTCAGCAGGACAGGAGTTTGAGACGGCGATGGTAGGAGCAACCATCCCTCCACTGCTGTACACATCCAGCATGTTCCCTGACACTGGCAGCTGCATCCACACAACAACAACAACAAGTCACAAGGTGTAAACAACAACAACAACATCAACATCATCATAAAACACACACAACAGCTTTCAGAGGTCATCAACAACTCCTAAATGCAGTACTAGGCCAACTATCTCCTTCATTCAAGCAGAAGCCGTTGAAAATGCAGTAAGAGAAGAACATGTTGTGATATCAGAGGTCTAAGAGCTACATTGACTATTGGTAAGTCTGAACAAACCAGGAGACGACTCCACTGATAACCTCCCTGGAACATTGATAATGTGAATTCCAGACTTTTTCTAATGTCTACAAAACAGACAAGATGAGGGTTGCAAAACTCCAATATCTTTTCCCAAATTCCCTGCTGGTTCTCCAGATATCCTGGTTGAAGAGTCCTGGAATGAGGAGGGAATAAAACACAAACTCTGTAATACTCCAACCAGGATATATTAAAAAGCTGGTCATTTGGGGAAATTACTGGGATTTTGCAATCCTAGCCAAGGTCTATCTGCTACTGCCACGGTCTAACTTCTACTGCCACGGTCTAACTGCTACTGCCACGGTCTAACTGCTACTGCCACGGTCTAACTTCTACTGCCACGGTCTAACTGCTACTGCCACGGTCTAACTGCTACTGCCACGGTCTAACTGCTACTGCCACGGTCTAACTGCTACTGCCACTGTGGGCTACTAGTCACTCTCACCTCTCTCTTCCCAATGAACAGGATTCAACCTCTAACCAAATAGACACTGTTTATTATTTTCATTCAAACACCACAACCAAAACGGACTGTTGTATATCATGAAATGTAATCAAGTAATAAACGGACTGTTGTATATCATGAAATGTAATCAAGTAATAAACGGACTGTTGTATATCATGAAATGTAATCAAGTAATAAACGGACTGTTGTATATTTAAATGTAATCAAGTAATAAACGGACTGTTGTATATCATGAAATGTAATCAAGTAATAAACGGACTGTTGTATATCATGAAATGTAATCAAGTAATAAACGGACTGTTGTATATTTAAATGTAATCAAGTAATAAACTGACTGTTGTATATTTAAATGTAATCAAGTAATCGCTCAACGGTCAATATGACAAACACTATCTACTATTCACAACTGGAGCCTCAGTTTCATTAACAGAATACAGTAATAAACATGTTAGCATGTCTACATATCAGTTTCATTAACATAATACAGTAATAAACATGTTGTTAGCATGTCTACATATCAGTTTCATTAACAGAATACAGTAATAAACATGTTAGCATGTCTACATATCAGTTTCATTAACATCAGAATACAGTAATAAACACGTTAGCATGTCTACATATCAGTTTCATTAACAGAATACAGTAATAAACATGTTAGCATGTCTACATATCAGTTTCATTAACAGAATACAGTAATAAACATGTTGTTAGCATGTCTACATATCAGTTTCATTAACATCAGAATACAGTGATAAACATGTTAGCATGTCTACATATCAGTTTCATTAACATCAGAATACAGTAATAAACATGTTTAGCATGTCTACATATCAGTTTCATTAACATCAGAATACAGTACTAAACATGTTAGCATGTCTACATATCAGTTTCATTAACATAATACAGTAATAAACATGTTAGCATGTCTACATATCAGTTTCATTAACATAATACAGTAATAAACATGTTGTTAGCATGTCTACATATCAGTTTCATTAACAGAATACAGTAATAAACATGTTAGCATGTCTACATATCAGTTTCATTAACATCAGAATACAGTAATAAACATGTTAGCATGTCTACATATCAGTTTCATTAACATCAGAATACAGTAATAAACATGTTAGCATGTCTACATATCAGTTTCATTAACATCAGAATACAGTAATAACATGTTAGCATGTCTACATATCAGTTTCATTAACATCAGAATACGTAATACATGTTAGCATGTCTACATATCAGTTTCATTAACATCAGAATACAGTAATAAACATGTTAGCATGTCCATATCATTTCATTACATCAATACAGTAATAACTGTTACATGTCTATAATCATTTCATTAACTCAGAATACAGTAATAAACATGTTAGCATGTCTATATATCAGTTTTCATTAACATCAGATACAGTAATAAACATGGTTAGCATGTCTATATATCAGTTTCATTAACATCAGAATACAGTAATAAACATGTTAGCATGTCTACATATCAGTTTCATTAACATCAGAATACAGTAATAAACATGTTGCATGTCTACATATCAGTTTCATTAACATCAGAATACAGTAATAAACATGTTAGCATGTCTACATATCAGTTTCATTAACATCAGAATACAGTAATAAACATGTTAGCATGTCTACATATCAGTTTCATTAACATCAGAATACAGTAATAAACATGTTAGCATGTCTATATATCAGTTTCATTAACATCAGAATACAGTAATAAACATGTTAGCATGTCTACATATCAGTTCATTAAACATCAGAATACAGTAATAAACATGTTAGCATGTCTACATATCAGTTTCATTAACATCAGAATACAGTAATAAAACATGTTAGCATGTCTACATATCAGTTTCATTAACATCAGAATACAGTATAACACATGTTAGCATGTCTACATATCAGTTTCATTAACATCAGAATACAGTAATAAACATGTTAGCATTCTACATATCAGTTCATTAACTCAGAATACAGTAATAAACATGTTAGCATGTCTACATATCAGTTTCATTAACATCAGAATACCAGTAATAACATGTTAGCATGTCTACATCTCAGTTTCATTAACATCAGAATACAGTAATAAACATGTTAGCATGTCTACATATCAGTTTCATTAACATCAGAATACAGTAATAAACATGTTAGCATGTCTACATATCAGTTTCATTAACATCAGAATACAGTAATAAACATGTTAGCATGTCTACATATCAGTTTCATTAACATCAGAATACAGTAATAAACATGTTAGCATGTCTACATATCAGTTTCATTAACATCAGAATACAGTAATTAACATGTTAGCAATGTCTACATATCAGTTTCATTAACATCAGAATACAGTAATAAACATGTTAGCATGTCTACAATCAGTTTCATTAACATCAGAATACAGTAATAAACATGTTAGCATGTCTACATATCAGTTTCATTAACATCAGAATACAGTAATTAACATGTTAGCATGTCTACATATCAGTTTCAAGATAAACCTGAGCCTGTAGACAGATACAACGTCAAAATCAATTCAGTGAGAAACCTAAACAAATCCAGACGAACTCAAAACCCAAATTCTTATCTCAACTAACCTCTTCAAAACACAAACGACTCTTATTCATTTCATAGAAAACTCCACAGAACAACATTTATTTTACCTGCATCATCTTATTTATGGTGTTATGCTGCTGCTCCAGAACAACCAGAATCCTCATCTTTCTCCTGCCAAACCAAACCGCTCTCACTTCCCCTTTCTCTCTGAACCGACGGTTGAGAAATAGCCAAACGTCGTCAGGGGGGGGGAAAGAAACACCTCTCTCTCTCTCTCTCTCTCTCCTCCGGTCCACGGTTAGCTAACCCTTAGTCTCCACAGTCTCCACAGTTAAGCGATCAGCGTTCTACACACAGGTTGACTGACCACACCCCACCCTGCTCTAGCCTACTCTGGCCTGTCCTGTCCTGTCCTGGCCACTGTTAGCCATGTGTCAGAACAGTATGTTTACTCTCACCGCCAGGCTGGATTCCACCGTCTCTGACTTGACATCCAACCGCCCTGCTCCAAAAAAATCAATTATCTCTGACAACACAAAGCAGCATGGACACTCACTGAGACACAAAGACATGGCTATCAATGTGTTGATAAGCCAGTAAGACCCAGGGGCAACTTTCAGTGACTGGCCTCTGGAGAAGATTCCATAATCAACCGCTTGCAGCAGTATCAAGCCACAAAAGGCATGCATGAGTTTCATTTGAAGAAGCAGGCTTACAGATGATTCATTTATCTCCAGGAGTGAATGCATAGTCACATGTTCTTGGTATGATGTCTTACTACATACCGTGTTGGCTAGATGTAGGCCAGAGTATGTAAGGTTTAGTTAATGTATGTCTTACTGCATACCGTGCTGGCTAGATGTAGGCCAGAGTATGTAAGGTTTGGTTAATGTATGTCTTACTGCATACCGTGTTGGCTAGATGTAGGCCAGAGTATGTAAGGTTTAGTTAATGTATGTCTTACTACATACCGTGTTGGCTAGATGTAGGCCAGAGTATGTAAGGTTTGGTTAATGTATGTCTTACTGCATACCGTGTTGGCTAGATGTAGGCCAGAGTATGTAAGGTTTAGTTAATGTATGTCTTACTGCATACCGTGTTGGCTAGATGTAGGCCAGAGTATGTAAGGTTTAGTTAATGTATGTCTTACTGCATACCGTGTTGGCTAGATGTAGGCCAGAGTATGTAAGGTTTAGTTAATGTATGTCTTACTACATACCGTGTTGGCTAGATGTAGGCCAGAGTATGTAAGGTTTAGTTAATGTATGTCTTACTACATACCGTGTTGGCTAGATGTAGGCCAGAGTATGTAAGGTTTAGTTAATGTATGTCTCACTACATACCGTGTTGGCTAGATGTAGGCCAGAGTATGTAAGGTTTAGTTAATGTATGTCTCACTACATACCGTGTTGGCTAGATGTAGGCCAGAGTATGTAAGGTTTGGTTAATGTATGTCTTACTGCATACCGTGTTGGCTAGATGTAGGCCAGAGTATGTAAGGTTCAGTTAATGTATGTCTTACTGCATACCGTGTTGGCTAGATGTAGGCCAGAGTATGTAAGGTTTGGTTAATGTATGTCTTACTGCATACCGTGTTGGCTAGATGTAGGCCAGAGTATGTAAGGTTTGGTTAATGTATGTCTTACTGCATACCGTGTTGGCTAGATGTAGGCCAGAGTATGTAAGGTTTAGTTAATGTATGTCTTACTACATACCGTGTTGGCTAGATGTAGGCCAGAGTATGTAAGGTTTAGTTAATGTATGTCTTACTACATACCGTGTTGGCTAGATGTAGGCCAGAGTATGTAAGGTTTAGTTAATGTATGTCTTACTGCATACCGTGTTGGCTAGATGTAGGCCAGAGTATGTAAGGTTTAGTTAATGTATGTCTTACTGCATACCGTGTTGGCTAGATGTAGGCCAGAGTATGTAGGTTTAGTTAATGTATGTCTTACTGCATACCGTGTTGGCTAGATGTAGGCCAGAGTATGTAAGGTTTAGTTAATGTATGTCTTACTGCATACCGTGTTGGCTAGATGTAGGCCAGAGTATGTAAGGTTTGGTTAATGTATGTCTTACTGCATACCGTGTTGGCTAGATGTAGGCCAGAGTATGTAAGGTTTGGTTAATGTATGTCTTACTGCATACCGTGTTGGCTAGATGTAGGCCAGAGTATGTAAGGTTTAGTTAATGTATGTCTTACTACATACCGTGTTGGCTAGATGTAGGCCAGAGTATGTAAGGTTTAGTTAATGTATGTCTTACTGCATACCGTGTTGGCTAGATGTAGGCCAGAGTATGTAAGGTTTGGTTAATGTATGTCTTACTGCATACCGTGTTGGCTAGATGTAGGCCAGAGTATGTAAGGTTTGGTTAATGTATGTCTTACTGCATACCGTGTTGGCTAGATGTAGGCCAGAGTATGTAAGGTTTAGTTAATGTATGTCTTACTACATACCGTGTTTGGCTAGATGTAGGCCAGAGTATGTAAGGTTTAGTTAATGTATGTCTTACTGCATACCGTGTTGGCTAGATGTAGGCCAGAGTATGTAAGGTTTGGTTAATGTATGTCTTACTGCATACCGTGTTGGCTAGATGTAGGCCAGAGTATGTAAGGTTTGGTTAATGTATGTCTTACTGCATACCGTGTTGGCTAGATGTAGGCCAGAGTATGTAAGTTTAGTTAATGTATGTCTTACTGCATACCGTGTTGGCTAATGTAGGCCAGAGTATGTAAGGTTGGTTAATGTATGTCTTACTGCATACCGTGTTGGCTAGATGTAGGCCAGAGTATGTAAGGTTTAGTTAATGTATGTCTTACTGCATACCGTGTTGGCTAGATGTAGGCCAGAGTATGTAAGGTTTGGTTAATGTATGTCTCACTACATACCGTGTTGGCTAGATGTAGGCCAGAGTATGTAAGGTTTGGTTAATGTATGTCTTACTGCATACCGTGTTGGCTAGATGTAGGCCAGAGTCGATCAACGTAAAGAACTCATCGTTGAGACTGGATTCAAGACTGATGATGTCATCGATCACATCTTCCATCTGAAATACAAACGGCTCTGGGGTCAGTAGAGGAAGAGGTGACATTATACACATCTACCCTCCCTCCCTCCCTCCCACCCACCCAGTCCCTCCCTCCCTCCCTCCCAGTCCCTCCCTCCCTCCCACCCTCCCTCCCTCCCTCCCTCCCACCCTCCCTCCCTCCCTCCCACCCAACCACCCCACCCACCCACCCACCCTCCCTCCCTCCCTCCCACCCTCCCTCCCACACAGTCCCTCCCTCCCACCCACCCTCCCTCCCTCCCTCCCTCCCACCCACCCACCCTCCCTCCCTCCCATCCACCCACCCTCCCTCCCTCCCTCCCACACAGTCCCCCTCCCTCCCTCCCCCCCACCCACCCACCCCACCATTCCCTCCCAAAAGCCCCTCCCTCCCTCCCTCCCACCCACCCCACCCACCCTCCCTCCCTCTCTCCCTCCTCCCTCCCTCCCTCCCTCCTTCATCTAGTGTCTCAGATAAGGAGTGCTGATCTAGGATTAGTTTAGCCTTTTAGATCATAATGAATAAGATTAAATGGACATGGAGAAACCTGATCCTAGATCAGTCCTCATAGTCTGAGGTGCTTTATACATACGGTCCCTGGTCTCCCTGCACCTTGGGTCAGACATACAGCCAGATTGAGCTAGCGCGTTAGACCGGGTGAGTCATCCATAGGAAACTTCACTGGAACACTCCACACGGCACTTTATGAATGAGGCACCATTTCACAAGCCACAATGAAATGGACTCACACTCTTCCTATGAAATAGCTTCTTCACACTTTCTATGAAATAGCTTCTTCACACTTTCTATGAAATGGTTTCTTCAGACTATTTCATTATTTGCTGCAAGTCAACCCCTCCTTTAGGACCATACCAGTCTGAGTAAGAGCTTTATCAACACAGTGACTTTAAATTCCAGTTAAAATACGTTTCAATTCAACTTTATTAATCCCCTCAGGGGCAAATGAACGAGGTTTTTCTCCAGAAGCGACTGACACAGACTGACAAAAACAACAGGCAGCGGAGTACACCTTTAATTGAAGTCTCTGTGGTGTGAAGCGGAGTACACCTTTAATTGAAGTCTCTGTGGTGTGAAGCGGAGTACACCTTTAATTGAAGTCTCTGTGGTGTGAAGCGGAGTACACCTTTAATTGAAGTCTCTGTGGTGTGAATTGTGAAGCGTGCAGAGATTATTAGGCTGGCCAACGTTGGATTTAACAGAACAATGTGGTGCCAAAAGAGCAAGGTGCAGGAGACGGACAGACAGACAGGACAGCTAGTCCTGTGGTATTTGACAGCACAATGTGGTGCCAAACACACAGAGCCACAGAGCAAGGTGCAGGAGACAGACAGACCCACTCCAGACAGACAGACAGACACACCGACAGACACACCGACAGACAGACACACCGACAGACAGACACACCGACAGACAGACACACCGACAGACAGACACACCGACAGACAGACAGACACACCGACAGACAGACAGACACAGACAGGACAGACACACCGACAGACAGAAACACCGACAGACAGAAACACCGACAGACAGACACACAGACAGACAGACAGACAGAGACACCGACACACAGACAGACAGACACACCGACAGACACACCGACAGACAGACAGACAGACACACCGACAGACAGACACACCGACAGACACACCGACAGACAGACAGACAGACAGACAGACAGACACACCGACAGACCCGCGACAGACAGACAGACAGACAGACAGACACAGACAGGACAGACAGACAGGACAGCTAGCTAGCAAGGTGCAGGAGACAGACAGACACACCGACAGACAGACACACCGACAGACAGACAGACAGACACAGACAGGACAGACACAGACAGACAGACAGGACAGCTAGCTAGCAAGGTGCAGGAGACAGACAGACACACCGACAGACAGACACACCGACAGACAGACAGACACAGACAGGACAGACAGGACAGACAGACAGGACAGCTAGCTAGCAAGGTGCAGGAGACAGACAGACAGACAGGACAGCTAGCTAGGTGCAGGAGACAGACAGACAGACAGACAGGACAGCTAGCTAGCAAGGTGCAGGAGACAGACAGACACACCGACAGACAGACAGGACAGCTAGCTAGCTAAGTGCAGGAGACAGACAGACAGACAGACAGACAGGACAGCTAGCTAGCAAGGTGCAGGAGACAGACAGGACAGACAGACAGGACAGCTAGCTAGCAAGGTGCAGGAGACAGACAGACAGACAGACCCGCCACAAAGTGAGGCTACAACAGAATTCTATGTGTTATTACAGGGGGTAATAACTCCTGTTGAATTTAAAGGAACTGGAAGACCAAGACAATGTAGAATACATTAGGAGGAACATTTACATTTACATTTACGTCATTTAGCAGACGCTCTTATCCAGAGCGACTTACATTATTTTTTTTCATACCCCCTGTGGGAAACGAACCCACAACCCTGGCGTTGCAAACGCCATGCTCTATCAACTGAGCTACATCCCTGCTGGCCATTCCCTCCCCTACCCTGTACGACGCTGGGCCAATTGCGCGCCGCCCCATGGGTCTCCCGGTCACGGCCGGCTACGACAGAGCCTGGATTCGAACCAGGATCTCTAGTGGCACAGCTAGCACTGCGATGCAGTGCCTTAGACCACTGCGCCACTCGGGAGACCGGAACACCCAAAGAAACTCATAATAACGTCTACAACTGGTACAATAACACTTATTTAGCAGCCGCGCTTATCCAGAGCCACTTACAATAAGGTCTATACAACGTAGACCAACCTAATATTTAGGAAACGCCACCTCACGGAAGCCTGCTGTTGTTTAAGTGTAGAGGTGATTGAAGCGGCTGAATAGAAGTGGGATATTAGAGGCTATTATTTTCCCTCATCATGGCAGCTGCACGGGCATTATTCCCAGATTTTTCAAGGGTTAAAATCAACCCAAGCTCCCATGTACTTCCTAGACTGGGTTGCAGAGATGTGAGACCACAGAATGAAACAGAACAGTATTAGTTTTGTATCTCTATGTTTACAACGGTGACGTACCTCCTCCTTGTTGGCGCTCAGGCTGAGCACAGCCAGTGGGCTGCTGGGAGTGCTGCTGGCTGCAGGCTGGAGAGAAGGGGCGGATCCGGACTGAGGCGAGGGGGAGGCGCCCAGTGTCTGATTGGTCAGTTTGTTCCCAGGGTGGAGGAGAGGTAGTGTTTTCACCTGTGTCTATGAGAGGCATGAGATGTGGACTTAGTGGGTTCTCCAGTGGGTATGTGAACCTGGAGGGGGGGGGGGAAGAGGAGAGAGGAGAGAGAGAGAGGAGAGAGAGAGAGATGAGAGAGAGAGAGGAGGGAAGAGCCTAGCGAGAGAGAGAGAGAGAGAAGAGAGAGAGATAGAGAGCTATGCAGACGATGACGCTCGCGAAGAGAGAAAGAGAAGAGGGAGATTAGTCAATTAGACAAATGGAGGTCATTAACAATGCAGGTATAATGCACTGTAAGACTTCCATTTAATAAGCACGAACAGATAAGACGTTCGTTGTCAGAAGCAGGTGCAGTCCTCCCCAAACCCAGTCGTCAGAGTGCTCCAGGCGGTGCATGATGTACCTTGAGGACCTCCACAGGGACCTGAGCAGGGGCCCCGGCGTGCGCTGGGGCCATGGAGATGGCTGGGGAGGAGTCGGCGCTGCGTAGCTGGGCTGAGGAGACCTGCTGCTGGGCCTCTCTCCTCTCCTGGTCCCTGGCCTGCTGGCGCATCAGCTCCTGCCTCATCAACACCCGGGACGTCATCACTGGGCCGGAGGAGGGAGACGCCGTGTCAGATGGGGGCTGGGACACGCTGCAGAGAGAGGGAGGGGGACAGAGTCACGGTTGGGACACGCTGCAGAGAGAGGGAGGGGGACAGAGTCACGGTTGGGACACGCTGCAGAGAGAGGGAGGGGGACAGAGTCACGGTTGGGACACGCTGCAGAGAGAGGGAGGGGGACAGAGTCACGGTTGGGACACGCTGCAGAGAGAGGGAGGGGGACAGAGTCACGGTTGGGACACGCTGCAGAGAGAGGGAGGGGGACAGAGTCACGGTTGGGACACGCTGCAGAGAGAGGGAGGGGGACAGAGTCACGGTTGGGACACGCTGCAGAGAGAGGGAGGGGGACAGAGTCACGGTTGGGACACGCTGCAGAGAGAGGGAGGGGGACAGAGTCACGGTTGGGACACGCTGCAGAGAGAGGGAGGGGGACAGAGTCACGGTTGGGACACGCTGCAGAGAGAGGGAGGGGGACAGAGTCACGTCAGTATGTTTATTGTAGCGTCCCAATTCGATTGGGGGCAGAGACGGGCTGCCGGCGGGACAGGGTCAGTAGAAAAACTGTATACAATGTAAAACAGAAATTAAACAAACGTATACATTGAGAATACATCAATGCAGTCAAATGAGCAGGAAAACAGCAGCAGGAGACACAGCGGAGGCCTGAAGATACAGAGAGGCAGACCTCACTGAGAAATAGAAGTGATGATATTATGTAGATACTACAATATGTAGCAGTTAAGGTCAGTGAGTTCAGACTGCTGTGCAGTGCACCAGTCAGTTACATTAGAAGTCAGTTTACACGAGGAAAACTGAAAGTACAGAACACTATTTCACAAGACTCTGCAGTTACATGGCGATACAGTACATTTCCATTCAGAGAAATAGCAGATCCTGCTGAGTCACTCACTTGGAAGCCCCTGGATCTGAACTAAAACCCAACACCCTAAACCCCTACACCCTAAACCCTAGTACCCTATACCCTAATACCCTACACCCTAGTACCCAACACCCTAAACCCTACACCCTAGTACCTAACACCCTAAACCCTACACCCTAAACCCTAGTACCCTATACCCTAAACCCCTAGTAACCTACACCCTAAACCCTAATACCCTACACCTAATACCCTACACCCTAAACCCTAGTACCCTACACCCTAAACCCTACACCCTAGTACCCACAACCTAGTACCCGCACCTAAACCTAGTACCCTACCCTACACCCTAGACCTACACACTATACCCTACACCCTAGTACCCTACACCCTATACCTACAATATACCTAGTACCCTACACCCTAGTACCCTAGTACCCTAGTACCCTACACCCTAGTACCCTACACACCTAGTACCCTACCCCTAGTACCCTATACCCTAGTACCCTACACCCTTAACCCTACACCCTAGTGCCCTACACCCTAGTGACCCTAAACCCTAGTACCTACACCCTAAACCCTAGTACCCTACACCCTAAACCCTAGTACCCTAATACCCAACACCCTAAACCGTAGTACCTACACCCTAAACCCTAGTACCCTACACCCTAAACCCTACACCCTAGTACCCTAACACCCTACACCCTAAACCGTAGTACCCTACACCCTAAACCCTAGTACCCTACACCCTAAACCCTAGTACCCTAATACCCTACACCCTAATACCCTAGTACCCTGCACCCTAAACCCTAGTACCCTACACCCTAATACCCTAATACCCTACACCCTAAACCGTAGTACCCTACACCCTAAACCCTAGTACCCTACACCCTAAACCCTAGTACCCTACACCCTACACTCTCCCGAGTGGCGCAGTGGTCTAAGGCACTGCAGTGCTAGCTGTGCCACTAGAGATCCTGATTCGAATCCAGGCTCTGCCGCGACTGGGAGACCCATGGGGCGGCGCACAATTGGCCCAGCGTCATCCAGGGTAGGGGAGGGAATGGCCGGCAGGGATGTACAGTGAGGGAAAAAAGTATTTGATCCCCTGCTGATTTTGTACATTTGGCCACTGACAAAGAAATGATCCGTCTATAATTTTAATGGTAGGTTTATTTGAACAGTGAGAGACAGAATAACAACAAAAATATCCAGAAAAACGCATGTCAAAAATGTTATGAATTGATTTGCATTTTAATGAGGGAAATAAGTATTTGACCCCCTCTCAATCAAAAAGATTTCTGGCTCCCAGGTGTCTTTTATACAGGTAACGAGCTGAGATTAGGAGCACACTCTTAAAGGGAGTGCTCCTAATCTCAGCTTGTTACCTGTATAAAAGACACCTGTCCACAGAAGCAATCAATCAATCAGATTCCAAACTCTCCACCATGGCCAAGACCAAAGAGCTCTCCAAGGATGTCAGGGAC